CCCTGCCCCAATGAGCACACTTTTTAAAATTATTTAGTAATATTATTGCCAGTCTCAATAAAATTCCATGGCCTAGTCTGTCCTCTCCAAATCTAGCCTAGCTATAAATTGCCGGGGGAGGGGCAAAACCAAATTCTCTCTCATTGACCTAAGAGTGAATTTCAAAAGACATGAGAGCCGTCAGTACAATGTATGCCCTAGGTACGGCTGGCTGGAAACAGATTTGCTGGAAATTTTCAAGCTCTCACAAATTGATCTTGGTCTGCATGGGGCTGAAACGGAGACCTTTTGAAATTTGCCATGGAGAAGCAAGAGAGAGAAACATTATAGCCAATAGCTTCCTGGTTAGGCCACTCACTTGGAATGCAGGTGACCAGGGTCAATTTGCTGCTCTGAGTCAAGCAGGTCCCAGGTGAGTGCTCTAATCACCAGGCTATTAGCTATTCCACTTGCTCTCTTTTCCTCCCGCTCCTTCCCCGATTCCATCCTAGACCTCAGAAACCTTCCCAGAGAAAAGGTTTGTTGCACATGACGTGTTTCCATAAACATTTTTGGTTGCAACAAATTGGCAAGGTTGGTCAAACAATTACCCACCCACTCTAGTGCTGGTCTTGCTCAGGAAACGTAGCTATAGCTTGTCACGCGCTAATGTTCTCACGTCACCACCACGCAACTGTGGACTCAAAGGTTATGAGGTAAGGTTCCCCTCCCCCCCCCCCCAAAAAAAGTGACCAATGCCTTAATATTTAGGAGCATAATTTTCAGACCATCTGCCCACCGAAAATCAAGCCCTTTTACAGTGGTCAATTTGGAACCCCAAATCCCTAATATCTTTTCAAAATATTGGATGATAATCTTTTCTTCCTGTGCATTTGCACAGACTTGAAGGGATTTGTGGTCTCTTCACCCATAATTTTACCCCAGTGTGATGCTGATGGCGTCAGTGGAGGTACTCAGCATTTACCCCAGCGTGAGAGCAGAACGTAGAGCAGGGTGAAAGCAATGCATTTAAACTAGTCTGACAACCAGTGTGAGATCAGAAGCGGGTCCCATGTATCTACTGCCATCTAAAGCGAACCAGTGCTGATGTAACCATGCCATGTTGCCAATAGACAGTAGCTTGCATATCAGGCCCTCTATTGTAAAGGAGTAGCACATGGGTGTGTTAAGTCCTGTCCCTAAACCTTAGGCCCCTAGGCCTGCAAGTCATGGTAATTTGATCACTATTGTAGACAAGAAAGAACAGAAATACTAAGGGCTGGTCTACACTGGGGGGGGGGGGGGATTGATCTAAGATACGCAACTTATCTTAGAACGAAGTATCTTAGTTCGACTTACCTGGCCGTCGACCGCCGCGGCTCCCCCGTTGACTCTGCTTACTCCTCCTGCCAAGGTGGAGTACGGGCGTCGATTCGGGGATTGATTTATTGCGTCTAGATGAGACGCGATAAATCGATCCCTGATAGATCGATTACTACCCGCTGATCCGGCGGGTAGTGTAGACGTGACCTAAGTTAAGGAAGAAAACTAGGCTCCCTTAAAAAGAACAAGAGTACTTGTGACACCTTAGAGACTAAAATTTATTTGAGCATAAGCTTTCATGGGCTACAGCCCACTTCTTCAGATGCATAGAATGGAACATATAGTAAGGAGATATAGTAAGGCTCCCTTAGTTTTTTCCTCAGTCTGTCATGGCAAGAGGGACATTTTTTTATTTGTTGGTTGTACTACTACTGGGACAGTGGAAAGTATAGGGGTTATAAACAGTTTGCAGTCTACCAGGCCTGTTTGTTTTTCCCGGGGGCAGCAGGGAGCGAGTGTTAGGAGCCCTACTGAGGAACACAAAGAGCTTAGGATGTGTATCTGCTTCATTAGAGCGCCCAGGAACTGATGGCTTTATTTAAGTAACTTTCAGACCCCTGTAAAAATTGGGTGTTTTGGAAAGTAGCTTCATGAGCAAAGGTAGTCTGGTATTACGTAATTGCAGTGGCAAGTGTTTTACGGACAGGGGGTATTTTCACGTGATTTACTTGGGGTACAGACCTGAGACTAACTGAAGAGGGGCCCCTCAGAGATGTGCCATATGATAGGTTGTTTCTTCAGGACCAACGATAACTACTAATAGACCTTCAAGTGTATGGGCTGAAAAAAGACCATCCTACTCTCTGACACACTAAAGCAAATATACAGCTGAGAGCAGAAAAATTTAAAAGTTTATTAAACATTAAGAAGAACAGACAAAAAGATCTGGGCTGAACAGCATACAGGATGCAATCCACTTCATGACATACATTTAATTTGATCTTATATGTTAAACTTGTATTTAAACAGATGCTGTCTTGTGGTGTTGCCCAAAATACAATGGTTGATCACTTGTAATTTTTAAATATTTTTTTTCCAAGTTTTAAAAAACAAAAATTAAACCACACTTCTCTCTCCAATAAACCACACACAAAAATCATTTTTAAAGTGACATTAATGGCTGACAAACCCACAAAGGCAAGATCATTCAATCCTTAATTCATCCCATGTTGCAGAGGCCTCGATTCAGTGTCTGTGATGTTATGTAGCATATTGACGCTGCAATAGACAGGCACAGCAGAATGAATTAAGTGTGAAATGTCAGCCCAGAATGTTTTCCTTTAGCTCTGAGTTCCTTGATTTTGTGGATTTAAGTCAGCACTTTCATTCCATGATGCTGGTTATTTAAGTGCCAACAGCATCAGAAGACCCCCTAATTCCTAAGGCAATAAAACCTGTATGACTAGAATTGAAATTGAAAATGATTTATTTTTTAAACAGTGGTATTTTTTTTTAAAGTTGAAATAATTGACTTCAGGGCTACCATAAAGCAAACATTTAGCAAATGCTTATTGTTTACTTATTAGATTTCAGTGGATTATCGTGTAAATACATCCTTAGATCCTTTTTAAAGGCCATATAATTTGACAGACCTAAGAACTCCTTTAGAGTCAATAAGGCCCATCAGAATCTTGAGTATCCCTGATAAAGTGTCCTTATAAGTTGAATACAAGGTAAAAGAATGTTTTAAAAATTGTTATTCTTTTGGGAAAGTGTCTTAGGCTGAGAATTTATATTTCAAGGGTTTATCCCAGATGGTTATTTTAAATGAGTTAGGTACCCAAATCCCACTGTAAGAGAGGAGTCCCTGACTCCTTCAGGTACCTCAGACAATCCTAGCCTAAATGCCCTAGTTATAAACCCCTAAAAATGATGGCGCCAATGGTGGCTTTTACGGAAAAGTTGACACAACTCTAGATAGCAGCGCTCCTGGGCATTACTTTAATATTATTAGCTACTGGACTTCCTGATTATTCTGAGTCTCTCCAAGTCAAACAACATAGTTTTGTTTTGTTGTGCAGGATGCATTTGTCAAACCTTCATACCATGACAACAGTATGCATGACCTATAGATATAAGGCACCTGAACAGACTCAGAAGTGTTTGTGATGGTGGATGAGGTAGCTGCTAGAAACCTCTGCTGGCACATGGTGGAAAGCCTACCTTGTTCCTCCTCTCCCACCCCCCAATAAATAAGTCTGAGATAGCCACCCTACAAAAACAAGTGTCTCTACTCACCCCTTTACCCCACTTAAAAAAAAAAGACAAAAGTGCTCATTTATAAATTTTCTCAGCTGCCTGTGTATGTTTGGATTAATGATTGTGACAACAATGCAAACTACCAATAATTCCCAGCTGATTTCACAACCACAATTTCTGCTATTTCAAACTTCAGCTGCAGGATGTCACAAAAGATGGCATTCCAACATTGTTGCAATTTGCCACTGTGTGTCCACGTTACTGGCATCTTCTAGAACCCTGCCACTACCAAAGAACTTAAAAAAAAAAAATCAGTTTGTTTTCTGGTCAGTGGCTATATTAACTTGTATCCAACAAATACATATTCCACACAGCCCATCTGGTTTATACTGGACAATAATTGACTTTCTATGCTCTGACCCTTCCTGAAGCTCATGGACATGCAATCCACAGAATTAATGGTCCACAAGAAACTACTGAGTATTAAGGGACCCTGTGGATTTTGAAGGGGAAAAAAAATGGAAAAAATCCCATTGATGAAAGGATATGTTTAATGTAGAACAAAATGTTTAGTTCTTTGTAATGACTTCCTTAAGCAATAATATGATTTACTGGAATGAACAACCATTTTTATTTTGAGAAAAAAAAAAAAACACACCCCAGAAAACTATGACAGGTTTCAGAGTAGCAGCCGTGTTAGTCTGTATCCGCAAAAAGAACAGGAGTACTTGTGGCACCTTAGAGACTAACAAATTTATTAGAGCATAAGCTTTCGTAGGCTACATCCCACTTCTTCGGATAGAAAACTATGTGAGCCAGATATGTAGCACCGCATTTTCCTCAGAGGTAAATAAATGTATGCAATACACAAAAGTGTATAAATGACCAAGGCTATTTATTAAGAATTTCAGATGGAAACAAATTCTAGCAGCAGCAGATTTGAAATGAGCATGAGATATTTTTGTAGTCTACATTATTTTTCTGCCTCTACAAAATATTGCATTGTCCACTATATATTTGACTAAACTCCATGTTGTGCTTTGTCTGTGTCAAACACATTCTTTATGTGTTTCTGATGGAAAATTATAAAGCCTTTTAATATTTTAGTTATATGAATCACCCTGTCAAGCCGTATTACCTTCAGAAGTTTTCAATTTAAAGCACAACATATGCTGATGTGTCAGTGGTAGGTTTAAAATATTAAAGAGCTCAAAAACCCTAAAGCACTTCCTCTCTGTACAATATTGGTGAATATAGATCTTTACTATATATTTTAAACATGGAATAGCCTTTTCTTTTTCTTTGCTATATATAATATGTCTTTCAAAATACACTGTCAGTATTTGTATTTGAAAAATACTGTACAAAACACCCCATACTATAATTATTCTGTATAAACTTTATACATTTTATAATATAGACCAAAAGAATAGATAGTAAACATATAAATTGATTAGATTAACCACAGTATATGACAACACCATTGCCTTCTGAAATTCACCAGTGTTTCTTACATTCGTTTTCAGAAGTCCACTTTGTAACAGAACATATGTTCAAAAGCAGGTAGAGAGAAAACAGAATAAAGTTCAGAACAATCAGTTCAAGACATGCTCAAAATAACAATCACTAGAAAAAGTGGGGTTTGCAAAACAGTGACTCTTCTAACTGAATAAAAATGATTTTAAAACAGCAAGATATAATCCTCAGAAAATATATTACAAAAAGTGGAAAAATGAATAGTTAATTAATCACAAAATGGGACTCCGAGCAATGCAAAATTAAATGAAAACTAAAAGAAAAACTCCTCTAATTTCAACATCAAATCTGATTTGATACTTTTTAATTTTGTTCTTGTATCGACTAATTGTCCTCTCTCTTTCATACACACATTCTGTTCCAGGGATGCTTTCACCATGCTCATATCAATGGGTCTTATTTATAAGACATTAAAACTCTTATTAGGTAGGGAAGTCATCCTACGTCCACTAGGAACACCCAGGCAGCATGCGCTAGTGTACAATAGGATTATTGCTTTAGGTACAGACAGTGCAAAATACACACTCTGTATTCTATTAATAGTACTCCTATCTATCTGGCGTTTGTGGAAATAAAAGGAAACTTAGTAGATATAGATAAGTCATAATGGGATCTATAAGGAGCAGAGCTAACTCAGTCGAACAGCACTTTAAATCTGAAGACAGCGATCACCAAATCTTAAAATACAACAAAAGCAATCTATAAATTAATATTTCTGTAGTGTTGTACTGAATTATTGTTTGTGCACTTCATTAGCATGTTAACTTTTCTGATTAGACATAATTAAACAATAGCTTGTTACTCTTGAAAACTGAGATCTACCTTTTTTTAATTGTTATGGTTTGTTTTTACTGGGACCTTTGCAAGTAAATGGTGAGGATGAAACTGTTTAGAACAACATAAAAATCCTAATCAGAAGCAGCACTGACAAAAAAAAAAATGAAAAGCATACTATGGCAGTTCTTAATAGTCCAGGTAAAAATGTGTCACCCTTTGAAGAGGGTTTCATAAAAACGGGAAGTGCTGAGATGTGCACACACACGCATACACAAATGAAAAATAATAATAGTAAGTCAGTTTTGTTTCTGCTTCTGGTAAAGTGCTGATGACAGACAGGTTGGTTTGGGTGTGGTGCTATCAAACAGGAAACACATTGTCCATCTATTAAAATGCCAACCCACAACAAAAAAGGAATAAAAATCGCCATTTACATGGGCCCGTGCCGAGCTTCATACTTCGCCAGCACGTTCTTGCATTTGCCCAGCTCTTTCCGTAAGTCAGCCACTTCTTGGCGGAGGGCTGAGTTCTCTTTCTCCAGGAAAGAGGCGCGGATGGCAATCTGGTTTTCCTTCAGCCTCCGGGCGTCTCTCGATCGCTTGGCAGCCATATTGTTCTTTCTACGTCTTGCCCAGTATTTGTCATCCTGCTCATTAAGTACATAAAGAAAGAGACAAGATATTAGATTTCAGTAAACTAAGAACTCCTTAAGGCACAAGGTTTCACTGTTAACCATGCTGCAGTCTCTCAGCTCCGAAGCGACTTTAACTTTGATATTTCACTGGCCTTCGCTGCTTTCATTTGCACATCCCACTGAGCAGTGACAATATCAGTAATTCCTGGGGCAAATACTAAATCTATGTGCAATAGTCTCTCAAATGGGCATACATGTAGGCCTGCCTATTTAGCTAAATGTCTGCACTAAGCTCACCATCATGGTATCTTGGTTCTGAAGATCTCCAAAGAATAATTAATAAGCACCTGGAGCCTCACTGGCAGCAGGATACCACTCACCCTGATTACCCCAGTGAGGAGCACAATCAGTCTGAAATGGGGACTGTGTATAGGAGTCATTGCCAAGTCAAGGGATTAAGGACCCCAACCCACTTCCATTGAAGTAACTGGGGATTTCACGGGAGCTAAGGGACAAAACCTGATCCAATGAAAGCAAAGACCAAATCTCCATTGTCTTCAATGGAGGAAGATCAGGTCTTAGAGCATATAAATTTGTGAAGCACGTGCCCTGGCCTGGAATGCCCCACCCTGGCTGGGCGTGCTCTCCACTGTGCCAATTGGCTGTCTGAGCCACAGTCTCTTCTCCTCAGCCTCACTTCACTTGCTCTCCACCCTTCCCTTCCCTCCCCACCCCATCCAACTTGCCGCTTCTCCCTTCCTTTGCTTTTTGTTTAGCTTATTACCCCCCTCCTTTAAAAAACAAAAATTAGTAGTCATGGAACCCTGGCACTCTCATGTGGTTTGCCATCACACTGTTCGCTCTGCTCGTATGGTGCATCTCCTTCCCCTACCATTTGTCTGTCTTGTCTAATCAGATTGGAAACTACAGGGCAATGACTATCTTCTACTCTGTATATACAATGCCTAGCACAATGAAGCCCAATTATCAGTCACTGGCCTCTAAGGCACTACCAAAATACAAGTAATAATAATAGGCCCCTGGAACAGATGTCCTTGGAGAGGCCACCGTGCTGGGTTTGAGACGAGGGGGAATGGGGGTGGACTGCTTTTGCCTCACAGCCGCACATACGCTTTCAGTCACGTGCCTATGCGGACTGCCTGCCAGCGTTTGTCCCAAAGTGCCTCAGTATGTTTCCTAGGTTAACATGTACTACAAGTATTATTCATAAAACTCATGTTGCCTTCAGGAATTCAGCCTTGTTGGGCATCAAAGGAGACAAATGACCAATTAATTGTACCGGATTTTGCCCCTCACTTAGCGTGAAACAGACTTCAATGAAATAAGCATTTGGTAGTTTCAGTGTTACTTTGCTCTTCCCAAATTGGAAGCACACCTCTGGGTGACTGGCCACATGCTAACAGGGTCCAAAAAATGAACGTCATCCATCTGCAGCACAAGGCCTGTACGCTAATTAAGCCGCATGCAGAATACCGCCTGGCAAGAACAATTTAGGTGAAAATTCTCCTCTCAGATCCACACAGCCCATCTCGGCTCCCATGCTCTGCCTCCCTTCCAAGGGTGGATTCCCCATTGCACACCAACTGGGAGCAGAATAGCGTATCAGTCCTGAGATTTACGCTGAGAGGAGAATTCTGTCCTTAGGCTGGATTGAACTTTTCATGTACCCCTTATGAAATATTTTCTCCCAAATTCCAATGGTTGGAAACAGAAGAGGCAAATATTTTAAACACTGCAACTGCCGTCCGCCATCAGTCAGCACACTAGGCCTGCTGTACAGAACTGCTGTTCTGCACCTTGTAACACAATAGTGCAAAGCAAGAGGAAAACACTTCCCATTTTGCTTTGGTTGCATTTTATATCCCCATGACATTCACTTTGCACTGGTGTAAGTGACTATATCAAGTGCAGGGCAAGGGTGAGTTGGGCCCAGTGTATCAAAATCTCCATTCACCTGTTCTTAGATGGGACCCCCAAAAAGTCCCTTAAAAAAAGCAAAAAGCCATGACCCCAAATCTTGGTTTACAATTTCCCATCTCATTCCTCTCCACAAAAATCAGCTTTAAACAATTTATTAGTGTGCCATCTAGAACTCATGCATCTTTATTTTAACAAGCTGCAATGACAAATCCCTTAATCCAGCCTGAGAGAGGCCAGGCTGGCATTTCAGAAACAAGTGCAGTCCAGAGACAATTGACTGGCCTAATCTGTTTACCCTTCCCAACAGCCAATCCTCACGCCAGGACAGAAAGAGTGCTTGGGTCAAGCACTCAGTTAACAGCCAAGGGCAACCAAACGTGATGATCTTAGACGGGAACCAGGACCCTGAGTCCCCATTCAATCACATACTGAAAACACAAAGCCTCCATGCATGGAGGATACTAAGTTTTCAGTTGTTGATATGAAATACTCCAAGAGCATCTTGGCTGACAATTTTCTTTTCTTCCTCCATAATCTATAAATATAACCTGGCACATAATGATTCTTTGGAGATAACACAATAACAATTGACACTCTGGGTCAAATTCCCACTTTCCTTACACCGGGTAACCCTTCTGATTTTGAGCACCTTTTACATAGGTAGGCCCCCTCAGCCCAAAGATGCGTGATCTCAGTGGAGTTTTAAGGGTGTCCCCACAAGCAGAATTTGGCGTAGTAATCACGTTATCAGGAAATATGTATAAAGGAAGGCTGGAGATACTATGGAGAAAGACAGTAACAAATCATTTGGTTACCACTTGACATGTGACTTTTTTTTTTTTACACTTTAACTATGATAACACCTGCTCCTGACAACACTTTCCTGAGGGATAAAAATAGCAAATGATGACAGACTTGTCCTCTACTGCCATCAGCCTACTGTAAACACAGACCAGTTCTCCGTCTACATGGGGCCTTATCCAAAGCCCACTGCAGTCATTGGAAAGATTCCCATTAACGTCAGTTGGCTAAGGATCTATCTCATGGGAAACAGCAGCAGCTCAATGCCTTGCAATGCTGCACGGCGCTATGTCCTCACGGAAGCTGCATTATACAAATAGCATTTTCCATGTAAAAGACAACTTGCCCAGGTCTTCAGTAAAGCATGTCCCCTGATCATGCTACTGGGGTCCCTTCTTTCTGGTATTGTATCTGTGGCTCAGAGATGGGAGGCAGGTGGTGGGTTTTATTTTATTTTTTTCAATGTTATCTTTCTCTACATAGAACTACATTTAAAATTCACACTTTTGAAACCCTGACAATACGGTTCGTTAATGGGATTATTCTCACCACAGATATTCAATCAGATTGCATTGCACCATTCCAATCACACTCATGAGACCGTTTTCTGTTTTTAACAGGGCTGTTGTCAAGTCCTTTTTAAAAAGTTAGTTTTTAATTTGCTCTGTGATAGTTTTAGATGCTTGAAAACGCTTCTTTCCCTGCTGATATCGGCCTGTGACTTTTGGCAACCTTCACAAAAAAGAGATGAAATTATCATGCCTTGTCTGTGTGCTAGCGTCATCATCACTGATGTCAGGATGTTCTGAGAACAGGATTCTTAAATACTGCTGCAGTCAGCACAATAAGTACACAAATACTGTGATAGTGTAGGTCCTACCTAAATAGCCAATTCTAAAAAAAAAAAAGCCTCAAGCCCCTGAAGAGTATTATATATTTTAAACTATACATTTAAATGTGTGTATATATATGTATTTATAAAAATCTATATAGCAGCAACAGTGTTCTTAGGCACATTACAGACAACTTCAAGGAGGTCAAATTATGGGCCTGAACTATTTGATTTAGGATCATTGTACTACATTTTACTAGACTTAGTTTAGCCCCTCCCACCGACACTTAGCCCTGGTCTACACTGGGGGTGGGTGGGTGGGTGGGGGAAATTAATCTAAGTTACGCAACTTCAGCTACGTGAATAACGTAGCTGAAGTCACAAAGAGTCCTGTGGCACCTTATAGACTAACAGATGTATTGGAGCATAAGCTTTTGTGGGTGAACACGAAAGCTTATGCTCCAATATATCTGTTAGTCTATAAGGTGCCACAGGACTCTTTGTTGCTTTTTACAGATCCAGACTAACACGGCTACCCCTCTGATACGTAGCTGAAGTCAACGTACTTAGATCGACTTACAGTGGTGTCTTCACTGCGGTGAGTCGACTGCTGCTGCTCCCCCGTTGACTCTGCCTGCGCCTCTTGCGGCGCTGGAATACAGGAGTCGACGGGAGAGCGCTTGGGGGTCGATTTATCGCGTCTAGACTAGACGCGATAAATCGATCTCCGCTGGACCGATCCAGCGGTAGCATAGACATACCCTTAGGGAAAGACGTTTCAGCACGTTGTTTGTCCTTTGACTGTCAGACAGAATTAAGGTAGTCTCAAGACTGGTGCACAGCAGAGACAGCTTCACTCACCATTTATCAGACACAACTGCTCAGTATTCATTCATTCTGGGTGAATTTAATCCAGAGGCAGGTAGCTTTATGCCCCACTTAAGGGATTAGTGGGAAATATGTAGTGCCTCGTGCCTCTGTCCTGGGATCAATTCCCCCTTATGGGAATAAAGAATAATGGAGATCCCAATTGAGAACAGGGACCTCACTGGACTAGACGTTGTACAGACTTACAGTAAGAGATGGTTTGTGCCTCAAAGCGTTTACAATCTAAGTAGACAAGACAGACAGACAGGGAGGGAGAAAGGAAATATCATTAGCTCATTTTATACATGGGAAAATGAGGCTCAGAGAGTGAAAGTGACTTGCCCAAGGTCACACAGGAAGTTTCTGGCAGATCTGGGGAATGGTATCCTGATCTCCTAAATTTCAGCCTGGTGCCTTAACCATAAAGACATCCTTCCCCTCAGACCTGATCGGATCCCAATCTCACACCAATTTTTTCATTTGCATATTTCCACTGGCTTCAAAGGAGTCACTCCTGATTTAAGTCAGTGTATGAGAATAGATTCAGACTCCAAATCTTCATTTGAGAAAAAAGCTTCCACATTTTGTTCCGTAACCGCCTGGTCACCAGTTCCAATTTACCTTCAGATCTTCTGGAATGAAGACTTTACGGGCTTTTTTAATCATCGGCTGTGGTTTGAGCTCTTCCTCAGAGAACTTGCGTTTACGAGGGTCAAACATCTCCTGGCCAGGAATGCTGGAGAGAGCAAGATCTGCGGGATCAGGTTCATAACCCACGGGAACTTGGATTGTCTCAGGGTCGATGGGACTTGGCGTGTTACGATTTGTTGGCAAGATCTGACCTATAGCAATAGAAGACAGGTTCAAGATGTGTTATAAAATAAAAAGCAAATAGGCTCTTTGCATTTGGGTTTTAGAGGGTCTCAAAATACATTACAAGCAATAATTAATTAAGCATCCAAACACATCTGAGAGGAACTCTGTTTATTAAGCATAAGAATATCCATTTTAAAGAGGGTTATATAGCCCCAGAGAGACATCTCGAGTTGGGAACATAAAATATAAGGTTCCTAAAATGTATGGACATTGAACATGTTGGCCTATGTTACTTAGCCAAGGTCATAGAATTAGGAATAGAACCATAGGCTCTGACTACCAGTACCCTGCTCTATGCATTTGACTAAACAGTCTTCCCCACTCTTCTCATAAACACATTTGCTTACGTGCCGCTTTTAAGTAAAGGGTAAATTTGATTTGGAATCAAACAATATATCATGTTTCCAGCAGCACATACAATGACTGGTGTAAAAGCTATTGAGCTTTGTTAAAATACCTCATCCATGAGCGCAAAAATGACTGTACAAATTCTACTTCCATCATGAAATTCTATTAGTGATATTCTGAAAGGCACTGCAAGTAACTAGAAATATTAAGAACTATGGCGACCGCTTAAAAATAACCTGCAAAAGGGAAAGAATATGGGTTTATGCCCTTTTTACGGTTTTATAATGTATGGAAAGGGCCTGTACCCAACAGAGGTTTTAACTTCTTGATTTTATCTTAGTAAATAGTGATTCTCATCCTTCCCAGTTTTTGATGGCTTCTGTGAGAACTAGATAACTGCTTCTTTGCAGAGGTGGGGGGAATGCCTGAATCTTTAACAGAAAGAGGTTTTTCCTCCCAAGTGTTTTCATGGCGTTTAATAGGTATAAAAAACAAAGAGTTTTAAACACTCTGACTGAAAAAATCTTTTCCTATTTCCACTGCTCGGGTTTCATTCTCTTCAGTTCTATTTAGATTAGGGAAATTTGCACCAGCAAAGCCACACCAATGGAACTATACAGGTGTAAACTGCTAATGTGATGCATTTGTATAGAATCATAGGACTGGAAGGGACTTTGAGAGGTCTCTATCCAGTCCCCTGCACTTTTGGAGGACTACGTATTATCTAGACCATCCCTGAGAGGTGTTTGTCTAACCTGCTCTTATAAATCTCCAATGATGGAGATTCCACAACCTCCCTAGGCAATTTATTCCAGCACTTAACTACCCTGACAGTTAGGAATTTTTTCCTAATGTCCAACCTAAACCATCCCTGCTGCCATTTAAGCCCACTGCTTCTTGACCTATCCTCGGAGGTAAACGAGAACAATTTTTCTCCCTCCTCCTTGTAACAACCTTATATGTACTTGAAAGCTGTTATGTCCCTTCTCAGTCTTCTCTTCTCCAGACTAAACAAACCCAATTTTTTCAATCTTCCCTCACAGGTCATGTTTCCTAGACCTTTAATCATTTTTGTTGCTCTTTTCTGGACTTTCTCCAATTTGTCCACATCTTTTACTAATATGAAAACTATTACACATGCAAAAAGAAATGTTATGGACTTCCGTTCATCCTGGGCCAATCTTGCAGTCACCATCTGGGCAGTATTCCTATTGAAATCTATTATAACAACATAGGCCAATGTTTCAAAAAATATTTAGGTGCTATGGGTAAGATTTTTCACAGGCATCTCAGTGACTTAGGAATGCAAGTCTTATTGACTTCAGACTTAGCCTAATTTAATTTAGAAAATGTTGGCCATCATTATTACACTTACTAGGTCAGTAAGTTCATTATCACTTTAGAGATACAACGGCTTTCATAATAACTTTACTAACAAACTGTTACTTTTCATAACATCTTCATATTTCTGTACACAATTGTAATATTTATTGTGCAAATTAATACTCAAAATCATCACTATTTTAAAGGTCGTTTCTAACTGCAACTCAAGGGATTTATCTGCAGCATCATTTTTTATTATTCTATATAAACAACAACATTGTCGGGAAATTGCATAAGACAAGGTTTTGGTCTCAGAAATCATGGCTTCAGTAATACCCATTTTAAAATAGCACCAATAACATCAGATTCTAGGAAAGGCTGGAAAGGATGCAGGAGAAGAAAAAGGTGGATCAAAGTAATTTTTTCCCCAAAAAAAGAAAAAGAAATCGGAGACAATTCAGTTACTAGTGTTGTACCAACAGTGGAGTGTTTCCTTCTCTCTCTAAGGATGTGGCACGTTGCTGCCAAGATCCCATTGTTAAAAACTGGACATTTCCTGTTGTGGTTCATTAAAAAAACCAGAAAAAAAAATATATCCCAGCACATAACCACATGGGTGACAGTAACCTAGCAGACAAATCTACCAGTAATAACTGCAGTTACAGTGTGAAAATCATGAGAGGGCGCACACAGCATGCATGCTGCTATGGAGAAGTTACCTATTCTGTTTCTGAGCACCACTGGTAGTTGACTTTTCACTGTGATGCATGGTTAGTAGATCTCTTTATTCTTTACATAGCAATGAAAACTCAAGTCGGATGTATTTTAGCAAGTGAAGCAAAATGAAGTTGAAAGCTTAATGGAAGAAACAAGGCACACTCGTTTTTTGTCTGCTTGAAAGAATTTCATGAAAAAAGATGTTCCGTTTCCCTGGATACACCGGATGTAGTTTGAAACAGCTTTGATGAAATCATTTTTGCCTAACACATTTTATGTCTTTTTTAAGGTGAGGGGAAAAACCCCAGCTTAGTAACTCAGTAAACCAAAGGCACTTGTTTGTAGTTTTATTGTAAATGGATGGCTAATCTCATTTCAGATATATGAGGTGGGGGGCAGAAACAGGCCTATTTAAATGATTAAATGCAGGCACCTTCCTTTGATGTTCGTACATTTGTATCTGTCAGATATTTTCTAACATACACATATAGATCTTGCAAATTTTATATTAAGGATAGAAACAAACCAAAACCATAGCTGTGAATACTTTTACAGTTTTATTTTTGGTGGGGAACAGGGGTGCTCAAAGAACAGAGTGGATTTTGAAAATGCCCCTCGCTTTCTAATGGATCTGAACCAAAAACCTGGTTCTAAATAATTCTGAACTCTGAAATGTTCAATATCTGGATTAAAGATTGATATCTATCTATGGTACTTGTATGGACTCCATTACCATAGCATCTAAGCGTCTCCCAGTCTTAAACTCACAGCACACCAGTGCTATTTGTCCCCGTTTTACAGATGGGGAACTGAGGTATGGAGATTAAATTACTTGACCAAGGTCACATAGGAATCTGTGGCAGAGCAGGGAATTGAAGCTGACTATCCAGAGTCCCAGGTTAGCATCTGAATCACTGGACCTTCCTTAAACAAATCCCTCAGAAACCAAATGTGTTTCTCTGTGTTTATAATGCATATTTTATAAAATAACACCACATAATTCTAGCAGAGATTTGGAAACATTGTGTGAATAAAAAAATAAAATTCCTTATGCGTTATTGTGATACACAAGTAAATATTTTTCCCATCAAAATTGTTTTTCAGCAGAAAAAAACGGGGTTTTGACAAAATGAAAATATTTTGCAAGAAGTGTCTGGGTTTCACAGAAAATTGAGCTTTTTCATCAAAATACACCTCTACCCCAATCTAACGCGACCCAATATAACACGAATTCGGCTAGAACGTGGTAAAGCAGTGCTCCGGGGGGTTGGGGCTGCGCACTGCGGTGGATCAAAGCAAGTTTGATATAACGCGGTTTCACCTATAACGCGGTAAGATTTTTTGGCTCCCGAGGACAGTGTTATATCGAGGTAGAGGTGTATTGTGGCCAAAAAGTTTGGCTTTCATTCAACATTTTCAGGTGAAAACTTCATGGGACACAAAAAAACAAAAACCAAAACTTTTGGACCAGCTTGAGTTAAGCTACTTCCTCTCTTCCTCTCTGCCCCCCCACCCACCCACACACACTTAAATTGATCCAGAGAATCCAAACACCAAGGCCCTGATTCTACAACTTCACACAGGTGGACACATGTGTCGATGACCAGCCCATTCATAAAGCTGTCCAGATGCCCTTAGATGTACATAAATCATCTAGGAGCCCACGGGCCACTTGCTTTTGAGATGTTTACCACTACATAGGACCCTGTTATGCACTCCCTTACATTTGGTGTAAATTAGTAACACCACTGAAGTCAATGGAACCAACAGGAACGTGCAAGAGGGAAGAAAATCTATTCTTCTTTGTCCAATATTAGGCAACTCTTGGCGCTCTGCATCTTTGTATTTATTCTATCTGCTGTTGCCAATAACATTAGCCAGCAACTTGTCTTTGTTAGTTGACTGGCTAACGGCCACTGCATCTACGCAGTGCTGGAACTTGTTGTAACCTAACACGATCGCGTGGGCAGCTTTGGATCCAGTGCAGATATTACTGTAAAATGTACAGTATGTGGGCTCATATTACCTTGTCATACAACCTTTTTTTCTCCGTTTGTACGGCACTTGGGATTCAGCTCCTTCTGCAAAGTTTGTGCAGGGTGTTATTTTTATGCACTAAATTCCTCCCAATCGGGGACAGGTCAATAGAGAACAGCGATCGAAAGGTCATGGGCCTAGGGCCAACTAATCCCCGCCTCAGCGAGCTCTGCAGCTGTCACAACATCCAGCGAAAGTCGCTCAACAGACCAGAGAGGCTGTGGTGTACGACGAAAGCCCACGGTACCTGTTGTAAAGGCCGGGCAAACATAAGGCATCTCACTGCTGGACATGAGGAGCCAGAGTCTTTTTTTAAGCACTCAGCACTGGCAACTGGGGCCAAATTTCCAGACCACCACCACTGAGGTGCCTAAACGGAAGCTGAAGCGGCCAGGTTCTCAGACACGCCCAGCCTTTGTTGTCAGTGGGAGCTGATGGGGGGGTGCTGAGTGTTTTGGAAAATCAAGCAGCTTCATGTAGGTGTCTAAATGGGAGCTGATGAGCACGGACTGCTTGGAAATCCAGCCCTATGACGGAAGCA